CCTAGAACCTGGTTGCAGTGCCACAATGGCATTATTCCTAGAATGTGGCTGCAATGCCACAAGATGATGGATGACTTCCTGTGCTCTGATGGAGTAATTGCACTGCAATCTGATGTCCTTGTGGGGTTTCACGTGACAAGATGTAAAGATGAGACATTTAGGAAAAGAAAGCAAACCCAGGCCCTGGAAAAGAGGCAATGCATGTATGGATTATCCTCTAATTATATTCCCGTCTCACCTTGGTCATGGACAAGAGCAGATATCTCTAGTGATCAGGGGAATAGGTTTCCATCTCTGAGTTTAGGGGAGGGAGTTTCAGAGGATGCACTGTTACAGTGCCCACTGTACCCTCCATCAGTATAGATTCCCTCTGATCTAGCTGCTGTTTAATCTGTGACCACAATCTGGTGACGGGCTTGACCAAATAGCTAATGGAAGCTGCAGCAGTTAAGGCCAGTGATAGTCAAAGGTGTCTTTAGTGAACTCAGTGATACTGAACGTCAGGAACTGACCGGTGGAGTTTCTGGAGGCTTTTTCCCACTGACAAACATATGACTGAGAATTCCACCGCGGCTGCAGGTGCTGTCACAGCTGTGGTGATTTATGGACCAATCTTCCCCCATGGAGATATTAGCTGGCCTCCCAAACACCTATAACCAGCAGGACTCCCAGTGGACGATAGAGACAGACCTGCATGACCCTCAACAATTCTATGAGCTTTATGCTGCAATGGGTGAGAAGGAGGTATCTCGAATCAGTCCCTGCAGCTTGCAGAACTGAAATAGCAGGGAGGTGCTGGTATGCCTTTAATGGGTAAAGAAGTGGCTGGCATTTGCTTGGAACACCTCCTGAAGTGGCAAACAGCTCCTTAAGTGCTGCTAATGGTAACTGAGCTACAATTCATATGTCCTCTCAGCTGGTTAACCACATTTCATAAACAAAGGTTGTGCAGCCTTCTCTGCCCTTCGTTTCCAATTCCCACCTTCCCCACACCTCTTTCCCTCCCTACAAAGACTACCATCACAAGGCGGCACTCCTGGTGCCCCTTTGGTTGATGCTGACCTGCTACGTATGTTTGCAACTCCCTCCCTCTTCAACGTCATAAAAGGATCTGATTACTGGGTGAACGAGTCCTATGACATGCAGCTTTGCTCACCCTCGAGGGTCTCTCTCCTCCCCTTGACACACCCACACCAGTACTCTACTCTCATACTATGCTTACTACAAGCACTGGCACCTTTTCCCTTCCTCACGACCCTCTCCCCAACCCCGACTATGCCAATGCCTACACTTTTACACAATTCCTCAAAGCTCCTGAGGACTTACGTGGCTGCTGCTCTGAGATCGCACTGACATCCCTATGGCTCACTATCTCCTTATACCTGTGATGGTCCTGCCCATGGCTTTCAAGCACTTCTATAATGTTTCAATCAATTTGGTGAAATTATGTGGACTTTTAAAGGGGACTTTTAAAAGACTTTCAAAGAGTTTTTAAAACTTATCCACTATCTGCACAAAGTCCTTGCTCTGCTGGCCAAAGTTTGTTGTATCCAATCCCGAAATGTACTGATTTTAAACTTCTGTCCCTCTGCTTACCAACCCCTGCCATAACGCAGCTCACCTGCATAAAATGATTGCAGTTGAGTCTAAATTTGATAAATAATTTATTCACTCAGCACAACAGCTTGAAGACAACAGAAATAATGCAAATGTAAGCAATTAAGAATGAACTGTTTGTGCCTGTGAGGATTCCTTGCTGTACAGTATTGACATTGAATCTTAGTATCTGCTGTCTAGCTAACTCTCTCCACTGATTCCTCTACTGTTTCTTTGTTTTATTTTGTTACAAAGGAACTGAAGAGAATCTGCTGATCTCTTATGGTGAGGTTGACCTTCTTGTCTTAGGTTGATCTGCTTTGCTTCCAGATTTTTGCTTGTCTCACCATCTAAATGGCTTTCTCTAAAGTAAAATTTTCTTTGGACCACAATAAAGCTGACAAACTCTTACCAGTAATTCCAACAACAATTCTTTCTCTAATGAAGGTTGATTTCAAGGCATCATAGTCACATTTTTCCAGTAATCTGGACAGAGTGAGAAATAAATTCCCCATAGTTTTCTCTGGATGCTGAACACTTCTGATTAATAATGCATTTTTTAAAACTTAAATTCATGAGGTTTTTTTTTAATTTATTCATTCATGCAATGTGTGTATCGCTGGCTAGGCCAGTTTCCCTAATTCCCCAGAGGTCAGTTAAGTATCAACCACATTTCTGTGCCTCTGGAGTCACATGTAGGCCAGACCAGGTAAGGATGGCAGTTTCCTTCCCTAAGAACATCAGTGACCAGACAGGCTTTTCTGACGATCAGCAATGGTTTCATGGTCAGACTCTTAATTCCAGATTTTTATTGAACTCAAGTTCCACCATCTGCCATGGCAGGATTCAAACCTGGGTTCCCAGAACATTGTCTGGGTCTCTGGATTAACAGTCCAGAGATAATACCACTTGGCCATCACCTCCCCTGTAATTGTGAAATACTTACAGAACTTCAAGTTTTTCTGATGCAACATTTATGACTTGGCAAGCTGGGTCATTGAATACAAAAGCATATTTGCTCATTCAGCCTCCAATTCAGAGTCCAGTTTGGAGTCAATTCTGTATCTTAATGACTGTTTTCTCCAATGTGTCCACTTTTGTATATTATTTGCCCATTTCTAAAATTATATCTTACTGGAAATATCATTACTGTTGCCTTATGTGACCATTTATCTTCCTTCCTTTAATTATGTAGTATCTCAATGTTGCTTTATTCTCCTGACCTTAAAGGATTTCTATGTTGCAGCATAACAATGCTGTTACTGTATACTGCTGTATAAGTTTATGTGGTCAAAATAGATTATTCCCACCTTATTTGCAAATACAATGAATGTGTCCCACTTTGTTGTGACATAATAAACATTTCCTATTCTCTTCAATGTCTTTACCTGCTGTGTGTGGATTTAAAGACAATCCCATTCATTTTAATGTATTCTACCAGCTGAATCTCAATCTGTCGATTCTGCCTTGCTAAATATTGCCATGATTTAATCTTCTTAAAGTTGTGTCTGAAGATATCTTCAAAGCTCATCGGAACCTGCCCCACTGCTCACCATGGCACAGATTGGCTCATACTATCAGAATATCAAGGCAGGCCATCAATGGGTCACATTTTACCATTTCCTTCCTGGCAGGGATTTGCAGGGCTCACTTTGTCGAGTGTGGTTGAGGAAAACCACTTGTTCATCCAACAAGAAGAGGCCCTTGTCCAAAACGAGGTGTCGTTTATTATGTGTTAGCGACTAGGTACACATTCCACTAATAATGGTAGATATTGCTACAGAGACTGTAAAAGGGACTTCAATGGTAGGTTTTATTAATCATGATCCTATTCTTCCACTCAAGTCAAGATGACATCATCAATACAGCAGCTCTTAACACACTCCTCAGCATTAACCCTTTCTGTACCTTCTATGACAAATATCAGTTTGGATCAGATCCCTCTGCCATAAATCTGTGGTTAATAGCAGGGAATCCAGCCACTGCAGACTGTAAGTGGGCGTTGTTGTGACAGCAGGAGTTCCTGTATACAAAGTACAGAGATGGGAATCCTGTATATTATCACCAGGACTCAGGGAGGAACACAACTGAACGCCCATGGTGCAGGAACTCGAATGCTCAGTAATTCTTGCCAGCCCCACCCTGCTCCAAATTGATGCCCATGTTTACAGTGGGCACAGGAAACTTCAACCAACCTTATGCCTTGATCTTGGCCAAGGTGCTGACTGATCAAGGGAATACCCAATGAAGTTACGCTGATTGTATATCAGAATGGCGGCGGAATTTTAGGACTATTGTTTACTAATTGAACAGGAATTTTCCTTTAAATTTTCATTTCTCAGGAGAGGCCAGAAGTTTCACACAGTTCGGGAGTTCTGTAGAGTCAGGCTTCTTCCTGTATCTTCCCTTTCTGTGTTTTTCCAAGTACGGACCCCAATTAGGATCTGATTTGCAAGCAGCAGATATTTTCTGTGAATGGAAAAGTGAAATGTTTCATCATTTCTGCTGGGTTTTTACCCACTGTTAACTAGAAAAGAAATCTGGTTCCCAATCAAATTATTCTGCAGTTTGTTCTAACACCTGTTGATTCATATCATACCAGATAATACATAACATATATGTTCATGACATATGTTATACTTTCATCCAGACACTCTAATTGACCCTGTTATACACTTGCATTGAGACACACTGAAGGAATTCGGGCATTGCATTGAAATTATCCCTTGTGAAATGAGATTATTGCAATTCATTAAATGTTAAAGGTAAGTGAGTGTGAGATAAAGAGGTTTAGAGATGAAATTCCAACATTTAGGGTCAAGCCTGCTAAATGCACAACCACCAATAAAGGAGTGATAGAAGCAGCCCTCACCTTATCGCACCCTCCCCGCCCTCCCCTTAACATGAAAACCCACAACTGGGAGGGAGAATAACTGGTGCTCTAGGCTTTGCCCACACCTTATGTTGTAGACTGGACATGAGCAGGTGGGAGAACATTAAGAAGGCAATTGAGGAGATGTCACAGGCCCTCCTGCCTGCAAATCTGCCAGTGCTGGTCTGTAAGAAGCTATTGTTTGCAACAACCTCAAAGACAAATCCCTTAACTACTGCATTAGGGCTTTAGTACTCTGGAACCATCTTGTAATGATATCACAGACCTGCCCTTCATTGGGAAGAGAAACCACAGTGTGAGCTGAGTTAATAAAGGAAAGAAAGAAACTCTTGGTGAATTAGGCAGAGCCCCAAAATCTAACATTGTTTACATTAGAAACACTTGCAGAGAAGCATATGGAGTACACTGACTAGAATTAGTGGTAGGGATCACAATAGTTTATCAAATAGTCATTTGGAAGGACAGAACCGGTGTATTGCAGAGAAAAGGCACATTTTGTCAAAACTTTTTGTCTTGCATTCATCAGAACATTTTGCAAGAATCCCAACTAATTCAATGTGAGAAACAAAATTTATACTACATGAATGGTTGCTAAATTGAACTCTGATGGGCAAAGGTGATGACGTGGAGAATGCTCCCAGTAATTCTGATTGACAGTTAACTATCAGGCTTTGATTAGAGGATTTGGGACTTTTCTTCATAGAGAGGAGAAGGCTGAGAGGAGACTTGATTGGTGTTTTCAAAATCATGGGAGGTCTGGAAGAGCAAATCGGAACAATTAGCTCCTACTCATTAAATCGGTGCTTTTTAGTCCTTGATATTTCCGAAGTGGTTTGCAAAAGTAGCAAATGTGATGTGAAAATAAAACTGTTGTACAGTTTGGAACGTATCTTGGAAGTCTGGTGGAAACAGAATCATTCGGGGTATTAGAGACGGCATTGGATAATCACTGAAATGGGAATAATGTTGAGGGTTATGGGGAAAGTGTGGGAGAACAACACCAAGTCATCTACACATTCAGCAGGCTGGTACAGATGCAGTGGGCTGAATGGGCTCTTTCTGCACAGCAACATTCTGTGAACTTTGTGAAACTGAGACAGATGAATTGTAACCTCGGTTTTATTTGATGTTGAAATGAGCTTCTGTATACTTGACTGTTTTTCTACCTGCATAATATGGTCAGAGTCCTCCTCAGTTCATCTGTTGCAGAAATCCTCTTCCAAGCAGTTATGTCATCAGGATTTGATGACTCAATTAACTCAGCCAACCTGCCAAATTCTACCCTCTGTGAACTTGGTAATTCCAAACCATGTTCTTACCTACATCAAGTCCTGATTATCTATCATCCCTTTTTCCCATTCACTTTGAGTTATTGCTTAAGCAGGAGCCAATTTTAAAATTCTCCTGCTTGTTTTCAAATCTTCCATGGCCTTGGCTCACCCTGTCCCTACATTTTCATGTCATCTTAGAAACCTCCGAGATACATGCAGTCCTCTACATCAAGCATTTGAACCTCTCCAGTCTAAATTGTTCCACCATTAGTAGCTGGCCCCTCAGTTGCTCAATTTATGGAACTTTGGAATTCCTTCACCAAAACTCTGTCTCCCTACCTTTCTTTCATCAAAAGCGCAAAGAAACAAACAGTGAGATTGATCTTGAAAAAACTGTACGAAAACCATGATGTTACTGGAAAACTATTGAACCCTACCTCCCATTACCGCTACCTCTTGTCACAACCGGACAAAAGTAAAACTCTGCAACACAGAAGACATCATTCTGAAACTGAGAGAATGATTATGAGACAATCCAAACTCCAAATTTGTAAGATGCATAAATAGTATGTGAATTGCTTGAGATTTTGATACATTCAACTTGACAATCTATGATCCATGAACTGTGACACAAAATATAGAGCATAGCACACCCTTCATTGTATATTTGCTAGATTAAGGAGATCTGCATTTTGCAAGGTTTTGTAATTATTGGCATACTGATGTGTTCATATTTGTGCAATTATTTTAAAACCTTTGTTTTAATTGTGTAAGTGTTATAATTTATGATTTTTTGTAACGTTAAAGTCACCATAGTCTTATCAGACCATAAGGCTGCTCTCTCTTTAGAGAGAGAGAGAGAGATGACTGGTGATGGCTTAACCCAAGAGTCACTGTGCCTCAGGTAAAGGGAGAGCTCCAGGAGGAGAGTTCCTCACGGTAACCTCAGCTGGTACAGGAATTGAATCCATGCTGTTGGTATCACGCAGCAGTGCAAACTAACCATCCAACCAACTGAACTAACCAGCCTGCCTTGTTTTATTTGTATAATCAACACAATTCATCTGTTTTGTTATGAACTCATGATGCCCTCAGGTAAAGAGCCTTTAACTTTGTAATTTTACTCTTTTTCCTCACTCGGACCTTAATTACTGTACATTCTTATGTTTATACATTCTGTCCCTTACCATCACACTCTGGAGTTATCCTTACCTATGACATAATCCAGGACCAATAACATGTGGTTTCTCGTTAACTTGGTGAATTACACCTCATTGAAGTCTTCACATACACTACTCCCAGTGAACACACAACACTCCAGCTTTAAAGCCCTAACCAAGATTGCATTCACAGTGAACTAAACTGTGCATGAGTGGAAGCAGAACAAAAGGGCATTTTGACTTTGAAATGATATTCTTTGTGTTGAATCTATTGAAACTCTAAGGCCTAATTTTGTGTTCTATGTTGCTTTTTCTTTAAAATATTTCAAAGACGTCTCTCACCTGCCACAACGTGGAGCCCTCAGCTTGGACAACTCTCACCATGGCCACAAGGGGGATGCACATAATACAGAAGATGATCATACACCAGCCCAGTGCTATTGACCAGACAGGGTATTCAACAGGTCCGTATGTTGGAGGGCTGAATGTTGCTAAGGACCAGATTAAGACTGCCTGAGTGAAAAGATGCAAAACTAGATCAGAAACAGTATGAGAGATTGTCTGCCAGCTTGATTATTTGCAGTATAAATCATTAAAATGTGTAACATCTCCTTACCACCAGCAAACATGGAGAGATCAGAATCCAACATATTCTCCAACACAACCAGAAGAGCCAATTCCTTTCCCCAATCATCATCTCAATGTCTTTGATGAATCTGTTTATCCCTATGAACAAGGAAGCGGAGAAACACTATCACTCGCTCTGTCCTGTCTTCAGGGCAGCTTTTATACTGTCGAAGTTCATCTTGTACTGAGTGGCACCAATGAACAGGTTAAAGCAGAGAAGGGATCACTCCAGATTTCAAACAGGATGAGGAAATTGATCCCTGTCACCAACTGATCGATCATCCTCTCTTATTCTGGGAACAAAAGTCTGTCCAACCCAGCACAAATCAGAAACATGAGCTTTTCCTGGACAACAAGGTGCAGAGCTGGATGAACACAGCAGGCCAAGTAGCATCATAGGAGCAGAAAGGCTGACGTTTCGGGCCTAGACCGTTCGGGTTCTTCATGGGCAAAGAAGGGAATGTGGAATTTGAAACACAAACTGATCAGTCGTGACCTTATTGATGGTGGAGGAGGCTTGAGGGGCCAAATGGTCTATTTCTGCGGATTGGGACTTGTTACAAACTTTTGAATTTCATATTTTACAAGTCCTTAAAGAAGTAGATGTGTCATGACACAATGATAGAGGAAGCTGTTCAAGTTGGGAGAAGAAATATGAACAACCCCATGACTACTGCCTGTATCACTGGCAAACTGGCCCAGGATATATAAAATCATAGAGTTAAATATGTGGCTCGGATTGGTTTGTGAGGTATAGGTTTCAGTTCATGGGGCATCAGGGCAGTACTGGGATAGAAAGAAACTGTTCCAGTGGGATGGACAGGCCTCATTTGAACCATATTTGAATCAGTGTCCCGGCAAATTGAGCAACAAGGACTCTGTAGGAGTCTTTGGGGCTGTAGTCTAAGTGGAGGTGGTGAGAGTCCAGAAGAGAGAAAATTAGGCTGACAAAGCCAAATAATTACATGGCATTACAGGGCAACCACTTAGATAATGATATTCGGAGTGGGATAGGAAGGGACAAGACTGTCTAAGAATGTACAATCAGCAGGAAATAAAGTCAAAAGGTGATGGAGGTGCAGATGGGGGTAAAGCAAAGTTCATGGCTCTTTACTTAAATGTACATATTATTCAGAACAATCTAAATGAATTAATGGCACAAAGAGATAAGATTTTATAGCCATTACGGAGACATGGTTGCAAGGAGACCAAAGCTGGGAACAAAATATTCAGAGGAATGAGGCTTCTCAGAAGGAAGGAAAGAATGCTAGAATAAAAGCAAAGTTGCTGGAAAAGCTCAGCAGATCTGGCAGCATCTGTGAAGAATAAAATCAGAGTTAAAGTTTCAGGTCCGGTGACTCTTCCTCAGAACCCTTCAGGTCACCAGACCCGAAAAGTTAACTCTGAATTTTTTTCCTTCACAGATACTGCCAGACCTACTGAGCTTTTCCAGGAACTTCTGTTTTTGTTCCTGACTTACAGCATCTGCAGTTCTATCGGTTTTGAAAGAATGCTGGAGTAGTTTTGTCAGTAAAAGATGGAGTAGGTGTGATTATAAAAAAATATTATTGAATAGGTAATGCAGAATCCATGTGGGTGGGGGTGAGAAATAACAAGCGAAAAAAAAAACACTTGTGGGAGTAGTCCATAGTCCACCCCCATGCCCCCAAAACTGGTTGTTTTGTCAAACAGAGAATAAACTAAGGGATAATTAGAGCATACCAAAAAAGTGTATTAATCATTGGGGATTTGAATCTCCATGAAGATTGGGAAAATCAGGTTGGCACAAATGAGCAAGAGGAACAGTTCATAGAATGCTTTGGAACAGTTTCCTAGAACAACATATTATAGATTCAACCAAGGATCAGGCTATTTTCAATCTGGCGATGTCTAATACGATTCAGAATAGAAGACCTCCTGGGGAACAGTGACCATAATATGGCAGAATTTCACATTTAGTTTGAGAGGCTGTAAATTGGGTCAGAAATAATTGAGCTAAACTTAAACAAGGAAATTTATATATGGATGAGGGCAGAAATGGCTGGTGTAGACTGGAAAGGGAGTTTAGAAGGATAGGCAATTGAGAAACAATGGCTGATCTTTAAGAAAATAATTCCTGGCCTGAAGCAAAGATATATTCCATTGAGGAAGAAGTTTTCTAGGAATGGGGTAAACCAACTATGGTTAAGGAAGTAAGTTAGGGATGGTCTCAAATTGAAAGAAAAAAACATACAAGATGGCAAGAGCAATAGCAAACCAGAGGATTGAGAGATTGATTTATTGATTTCTTATTATCACATGTACCAAGACACAGTGAAAGGAATTGTTTTGTGTGCTATACCGGCAGATCATACCATACAAAGTGCACCAGGGTAGCAGAACAGAGTATGGAATACAGTGTTACAGTCACAGAGAAGGTGTAGAGAGAGAGGTCAGAATTACCATTTGAGAATTACCACTCGAAAGTCTGATAAGAGCAGGGAAGGAGCTGAGTTTTAGGAACAAAACGCAATCAGAAAAATAATCAGTGTGAAAGTAAATTATGAGAAAAACTGGAAGTAACATAAAAACGCCTACAATGAGAGAGTTTCTTAAAATGTATAAAAAGGAAGAGAGATCCAAAAATAAAGAGGCCCCTCAGAGAATGAAACTAAGGAAATACTAAGAGAAACAACAATTGGCAGTGGAGTTTGATTAATAATGCTCCAAAGATAAAAAAAATTAACAAAGTACTAAAATGCAGCGTGGTGGGGTGTGGGAGATGAACAGAGAGTCACGGAGCTCTACAGCATGGAAACAGGCCCTACGGTCCAACTCGTCCATGCTGACTAGATAACCTAAATTAATCTATCCCATTTTCCAGCATTTGACCCTTATTCCTCTAAACTCTTCCTATTCATATACCCATCCAGATGCCTTTTAAAATGTTGTAATTGTACCAGACTCCACCACTCCCTCTGGTAGCTCATTCCATATGCACACCACCCTCTGCATGAAAATGTTGCCCCTTAGATCCATTTTAAATCTTTCCCCTCTCACCTTAAACCTATGTCCTCTAGTTTTGGACTCTGCCACCCTATCCATGACCCTCATGATTTTATAAACTTCTATCAGGTCATCCTTCAGCCTCCAACTCTGCAGGGAAAATAGGCCCAGGCTATTCAGCCTTTCGCTTTAGCTGAAACCCTCCAACCTTGGCTAACATCCTTGTGAATCTTTTCTGTACCCTTTCAAGTTTTACAACATCCTTCCTACAGCAGGGAGACCAATATTGCAATATTCCAAAATTGGCCTGACTAATGTGCTGTACAGCCACAACATGACCTCTAAACTCCTATACTCAATGCACTGGCCAATAAAGGCAAGCATACCAAATGCCTTCTTCACCATCCTGTCTACCTGTGACTGTGCTTTCAAGAAACTATGAACCTGCACACCAAGTTCCCTTTGTTCAGCTCCACACCTTTAGTGTGCTCCGTACCGGCTCTCGCCTGCTACAAAGTAAGTCCCATGAGAGCTTCCCCTGTGCCGGCCTCCACTCGGGACTCGCTCCTCGTGCCAGCCGCTGCTCCAGTACTGCTTTACCCGCTTCGGCAGCTGCTCCGGGACTACTTCCCCTATGCTTATGCCAGAATATTGCGCTAAACACTAGCCTCTGCTTTAATCTTTACTGATTGCCTGTTGATGTGATAGATGAACATTTCTTTCTAGCCATCACTCATGCATGCATACTCCCAATAACTCAGGTTGCATCTCCAGGCTAGCCACTTGCTGTCACAGTGCACACTCATTCTGAGCTGACCTGGATGCTCACAACATCTCTGCCTTGCCTTGCCTTTGTGTGCTTTGCTACCTGATCCAGGGATATCACTTATGTCTTGCCTTGCCATTTGGTGCAGACACAAAGGAAAGAAATGTGCTGTGGTTGTCAGCAGTATGTTTAAAAAACAGAGAACAAACAAAGTGGTATTTAGTTATGACGCCAGTCCTGAAAGTTAATTGCAGGTTAATTCTTGTTCAAACAGTGCTTTAGATATTTCAGTTCCAGAGAAATATTACGCTCAAAGAGATGCTTGAATGTTAACAGGAGCCAACACTAGAAGATCTGTTCTAAGCAGTCTAACCAAGAACATTTTGGAAAGAAAAAAGCAGAAAGAGAACCTAAAGTTTGTGTTGGTTTCAAACGGTGTTCCTGTCAGAATGATTGTGACTGCCAAAGCTACAAGAAAGAGATCTCATTGCTCTCTGGTTATCCTCCTATTATCAACTTATTGAAAGCTTGGAGAATAGAATCTAAGTTCTAAGTATTAGGTGAATATTTCTCAGAGTCTACTGAAAAGTATCTGCATTAAATCAGTGTCTTCAGAAGTCAAGTAAGGTACAATCCTATGTGCCTGTGATATTACAGATCATGGAACCTGCTTGATTGAAATGGAGATCAAGGAGAAGATATGATACAATTAATGAAATTAGCATAGATAGAGAGGATGCTTGGAGTGGCCTGGAGGACATACAGGTAGATAAGTCTCCAGGGCCAGGTGAAATGTATCCTGGGTTTTTGAGTAAGACAATGAAGGAGATAGTAGGAGTGCTTGCAAAATTTTTTAAATTCCTCTCTGCTTACAGGAGAGGTGCCAGAGGACAGCCAAGGCGGTAACATTTTTCAAAAGGAGAGTAAAGGAGAAACCAGTAAACTACAGGCCAGTTAGTCTAACCTCTGCAGTGGGGAACAGAAATTATCTGCATTTGGAGAGGCAGGGATTAATCAAGAACAGTCAATATGGTTTTGTTAAGGGAAGTCATGTCTGGCCAACTTGACTGATTTTTATGATGTGGAGGTGCCGGCGTTGGAATGGGATGGACAAGGTCAGAAATCACATGACACCAGGTTACAGTCCAACAGGTTTATTTGAAAACACAAGCTTTCAGGTCTTCAGTCCTTCTTCAGGTGTTAGTGAGAGAGATAGGATCAGACACCAAATTTATAAGTAAAAGATCAAAGGTTCACACCATTGATGATAGGTTTGTTTAGTACATCCTCATCAATGGCATGAGTCTCTGATCTTTTACTTATAAATTCGGTGTCTGACACTATCTCTCTCACTAACACCTGAAGAAGGTCTGAGGCTCCAAAAGCTTGTGTTTTCAAATAAACCTGTTGGACTATTGCCTGGTGTCATGTGATTTCTGACTGATTTTTGGAAGAGGTGACCAGGTGCATAGATCAGGGCAATGCTTTTGATGTCATCTACTTGGAGTTCAGCAAGGCTTCTGATAAGGTCCCGCAAGAGAGACTGATAGCAAAGATAAGAGCTGGGCTGAAAACATCAGTTTCCAGGGGCTAGAAATGGACGTGATGGACACTGTAGAGGCAGGTTGGGTAGTTAATGAGTTGAATGTGGTGAGACATGGCAAGAAAACTCATCAGACCTCGTGGGAGAAAACCATTCAAAAACACAATGAAACTCAGACCAAGCAAAGTAAAAAAATATAACTCAGGTTAGACAGTTGGGAAAAGGGGGAATTTTCAGATGGCAAGCTGTACCTAGTGAAATAGACACAGGATTAGTGCTTGGCCCACAATTATTGACAATATATAGTAAGGACTTGGATGAGGAAAGTGAATATACAATCACCAAATTTCCAGATCACACAAACATAGGTGACAGGGCAAGTGGTGAGAATCACACAAGAATTGTGCAGAGGGCTACAGACAGGTTAAGTGAGAGAGCAAAAACTTGGCAGGCAGAATATAATATGGGAAAATGTGATGTAATGAACAGGAGGAATAGAAGAGATGAATAGTATTTATTTGGAAAGACTGCAGAAAGCTGCAAGACAGAAGGATTTAGGGTTCCTTGTGCATAAATCTGAAAAAGCTGGCCTTCAAATTCTACGGGTAATAGGAAATGAACCATTGGCCTTTATTTTCAAAGGAAATAGAATATAAAAATAGACAAGCCTTGCGAAAACTATTCAAGGCTTTAGTGAGACCACAGCTGGAATACTGTGAACTGTTTTTGTTCTCCTGTCTAAGGCAAAATATATTGCCTCCAAAGCCAGTCCAAAGAATGTTCGATAGATTGATCTTGAATATGGAGAGATTTTCTGATGAAGAATGGTCGGGTGGTTTGGGCTTGAACACTTTGCAATTTACAAAAATGAGAGGCTGTTCTTTCTGATCTTAAAGGACAGTGAATCTGTAGATTTATTTACCACAGAGGGCTGTCAAGGCTGGGTTTAAAAGTCTATTCAAGATAGACGGATTGTAAATCAACAAGGCAATCAAAAGTTGTGAGGGAAAAATAGGTAAGGATGGTTAAACGAATGATGGAGCAGACTCAATGGGCTGAATGGCCTACTTCAGCTCCTCCGTTTATGGTCTTATTGTCTTAAATACTTGCATTGCTATTAAAACTCATACTTACACAGTCTGGGCTCTGTGCTGCCTACCCACATAAAGCAAACGTACAGTAATTGCAAGTTGGCTGCTAATATTATTACTGATACTGAAAGTGCATCAGGAACCTTTGCACATCACATGTTTCTGAAGCCATCTGGCAGAACAAAGGTAATCTGCCTATCTGGTCTGGGATCTATGGAATGATACAAGTATCAGCAATTAACAAGACAATGATTGCAGTAAAATTGTGGCCAAGCTGAAATCCAGCAAAATTAAGTGAATCATGAGTGAAGGGTGTGAAAATAAACCCTGTGTGTTTCATGTTGGTTTCTGCGACCAAGTAGGGAAAGATAGAGTCATAGTCATAGAGCTGTACAGCATGGAAACAGACCCTTTGGTCCAACTCATCCATGCTGACCATATATCCTAAATTAATCTAGTCCCATTTACCAGCATTTGGTCCATATCCCTCTAAACACTTCCTATTCATATACCTATCCAGATGCCTTTTAAATGTTGTAATTGTACCAGCTTCCTGCAGCAGCTCATTCCATACAAGCATCACCATCTGTGTGAAAAAGTTGCCCCTTAAGCCCCTTTTAAATCTTTTCCCTCTCACCTTAAACTTATGTCCTCTAGTTTTGGACTCTGCTACCCGAGGAAAAAGACCTTGGCTAATTACCCTATCCAATGACCCTCATGATTTTATAAACCTCTATAAGGTCACCCCTCAGCCTTCGGTGCTCCAGGGAAAATAGCCCCAGCCTATTCAGCATCTCCCTACAACTCAAACCATCCAACCCTGGCAACATCCTTGTAAATATTTTCTGAAACATTTCAAGTTTCACAGCATCTTTCCTATAGCAGTGAGACCAGAACTGAATGCAGTATTCCAAATGTAACTTAACTAATGCCCTGTACAACCACCTTTAAACATTCAAAGAAGAGCACTTGAATTCCCATCACCTTCTGATATAACTACACCATGTCCAGCAGCTGATTCATTTGGTTTAATTTTTATTAAAGAAACCTTAAGGTCCACAAAGTGGTATGATTTAATTTATTTTGTTTCAGTATTCTTCAAGATTCACTGACCATAGATCCAGCTGAGACCGATGAGTTGCAGGAGAGCTGTTATAAACAGAATCCAGTTCGTAGCATAATGATCCACAAAATTTAACCAGTAAATCCCAGCCTAAAATTAAATGGAAAATTCAAAAATGTTGCATAGGAAAATTAAGTACTCTTACTTTCAAATTCAGACTTTAAAGAGATTTGAAATATGAAGACGTGTGAGTATTTATAAAAAAACACAAATTGGTAATTAAAGCAAAATGCTGTAAATGATGGAAATCTGAAACAACCACAGAAGATACTGGAGAAACTTACCAGGTCTAGCTGCATCTGTGGAGTGAGAAACTGAGTTACCGTTCCGAGCCTGGTATGACTCATCTTCAGAACTGTTCCAACACAATTCTAACTTGGTGTTCAATATTTGGTCATTCATTTATGTTTGGGTCTCAATTACATTGCTGTTCTCTCTTCTACATTGATAACTGAATGTGATTTTCAAAATTTACCTGCAGTGTTCTAAATGTGATCTTACATGCCTAAATTTAGACATGATGACCATTCCTGTCCATCTTAACTCTCTGTCTCCAGATTTAACTGCCTGGGAACATTGGGTTTTTCACAAATCCCATTAACACAATGATCTCTCTCAGTATCTCAGAGTTCAGCAAGATAACTTTGACATCCAATACAAACTAGGCAGCAAAATAGTTGCTTCAGACACAATGAGAGGTGTGCCAAAGCCAAATGAGACTGTTGCTGTTTTGCTAAACTGACAAAACATTACCTTAGAAAATATCGTCAATATTAATATGATGAGCATTGGTCAACAGAAATGCAATCACATCAACAAAAATAGACAACAAATGATCCATGGCTGAAGTCATTTTGGAAAGCTTTTATTGAAGTCTGATCGGATGTGATACAAGAGATACCAGATACACTCCAAGGATTTTGGCCATACAGAGATGAACTAGAAGTCTCTCAAGAGACATGACTTTCAAACATTCACAGATGCTTGTAGCTGAAGTTCTTTACTAAGCTAGGTTGCCAAATTATACCCAGGGTATGTGGGCATAGAGTGAAAAAAAGGTACTGCTACAGCTCACTCTGAACTTGTCAAGGATCAACAGGAAAATTGAGAAGGCATTGAGAATGTGTTAGGCTTGTCAAAGTCACCCACCACAATCAACAGAAAGAACCTCTCCAGCCACACAAAATTCCATTGTACACTTGGTTGAAGATTGTAACACATTTATTTCCCATCCATGGTGACAATTTTCTCCAAGTCACTAACTAATTTTCCAAATTTCCAACTACAGACATTGGAAGGATATCCCAATGATACCCATGGCAGTTACCATGAGTGCAAAGCATATTCCATTCATGTACCTGGACAAAATATCTGAAATTGGACAACAATACATCAGTTGATCTTTAATGGATATGGGACATGTCCTTGCATGTGTACTAAATGGGACATAAATCTTGTGACAGCCTCACCACGTTATCCCAGACCCAATAGTCTTGCTGAATGAAATGGTTCACACCATCAGTTATGAAATGCCGGGCAAATAACATTATCTTCATATTGCCATGTCACACTTAACAACAATGCCTCTAGATATGGACTTTCCATCACCACAACAACCGTGCTCAGAAGCAGGTCAGGTCAACTTTTTCATGTCATCAGGTGTCCAGGTTCTCAGAAATACAGGATAAACTTCTTGAATGTCCAGGGAGAATAAAAACAGCACACAATCGACATCCAGGTGTGGAATTGTCTAGTTTGTGTGAATGGTAAAAGGTTTGAATCATACCTCCCATCCAGGAAATGTGGTCACCCACAGAATTATTCAGGGTGTACAGTGAGCCTTGAATCCAAGAGGTCACATTACCCGTATTGTGGAACAAGGAGAAAGAGGAATAGAAGATAATTCAGGGAATTGTACAACATTATAACACCGAGCATTCCAATTGTGCACAGAACACCACCAGAGATAAACTCAGGGAATGAAATTGTGGAACCCTACCATAAAAATAATCTACCCTTCAACAATACCGAAGACACCAAAATTCCAGTGGGTCAAGAACAGCCAGTTGATAAATCTAGATCTCAGGAAGGATATACAATCATGAGATCTGGGAGGATTGTTCAATCATTGTGGCGATATACAGTCTCTTAAAATCTTAAATTGTCTAATTCTTAAACTCTTAAGCACAGTGATTTACTTTTGGAGTGAAGGATTGTTTGCACAGCCAGCCTGAGGTACATTTATTTTCGTTAATGTATGTAATGACCTTGGAGAGAAAATAGGATATTGTAATATCACTTTAAGAGGAGCATATTGATGCGCAAATAGACATGATGTCACTAACAGCAATAGACCCATTCAGTGTGCAGCACATATTGTGAAGGGAGATCAGTTGAGCTTCCCTGTTACAACTAAGCTCTGTAACAAATGCATCTGCTGAGCAATCTTATAACACATCTTCAAATAAACAGAACCGACGTCCAGTTTCCCATTCAATGTGAGATTGATATGTCTGTGAGAATGAACTCAGAATCGCAGCAAGATATCAGTATGATATGATCATTGCACAACATTAAACAGCTGCAAAAACAAAAGGACCAAAGTACAAGCTCCTTCTGTAGCACTTCATCTTGTGAATGTGATCACCTGTTAAGAGCTACCGAGTACGTGTGAAAGCAGCTTAAATTACTGAGATACAACCTACCCGTGTCACAAATAGAAGGCCAAGGAGATAAAACAATGAACAAACACCAACAGTCAGAAGAAGGCGCTTTGATCGGAGAAATGTAGGGAACTGGTCCAGTAGGGCTGTTATAATTGTTTCTGATGGAAGAGAGAAGATGTCAAATGAAATCATTAATTAATAACTTGCATACTGACAGGGAAACACACCACTGCAGAAACCAAAGCCCCAGAGTCCAGACAAACAGGTGTTTGCATCATTTTTCTAGCCCTGAAACATGCATTTTTTTCCTAGTCGTGTTCCTGTTACTCTAACTCAGAGGAAAACTGCATCACCATGATCTATAGGCATCATTTTCCCCCCAATTTTACTTCCAAGCAGTTGCTAATCAATCAAATCAGAGATTGATTGTTCTTTCAGACAATGAAGGAACAATTGCTACAAAGAAATGTTATGCATTTGTCCACTAACATCACCGACAGCACATTTTTGTCCAATACTGTCATAATTCCTTCAATACAAATCAGTTATTTTAATGATGCAATACCTAAAGCTCCAAACTGTGTGTCAAGTCCCAGTGTGAACAGCATGAAGAAAAATAAAACAGACCATAATGGTGCCCATGGCAACTGTGCAAGAGCCTCTAGGTAGGCAATGAAGACCAAACCAAAACCTAGACAGCGAATAGAATTGAAATGATACAATTAATGTTGCTCATTGACTTAAAATCCACATAATTTATTATTTCTTAATTTGTTAACATTTGCAAAATTGTGCATGTCACCAGAGTTCAATGATGTGCTGATATAGCCAATGATATATTTGTAAATGTATATAATATATTAATAATCAATCTCAGTTAAGAATTTATAATACTTGGAGGCAGTGAACACTGAGTTCAGAGTGACGATTATAATCAAGGCAAAGAAATCAAGGCAAAAAGAAATCTCTCTAATATGATGTTGAAACTGGCATTTTAAAGCAGGGGATAATGTTGGACCATAGGGAATGGGAGAGAAACAATTAAACAGATAACTTAGTGCAGTACATTTCTTTTAAATTTTTAGGGGTTGCAAAGTGTACATGTAGAAAAGGACCTCAGTATCCTTGTTGCTGAGAATTAACATGTTTGGACAGCAAGCTATTAGGACATGGAATATCAGCCTTGGTGGCAAAAGGATTTAAGTACAGGAATAGTGAAATCTCGCTTCAATTGTCTAGGAGCTTAGTTAGACCACACCTGGAATATTGTGTACAGTTTGGTCTACTTTTCTTGGGAAAGATATCATTGCTATAGAAGGAGTGCAATGAAGGTTCACCAGACTTGTTCCCAGGATGGCACAACTGTTCTGTGAAGAAAGATTGGGAAAACTGGACCTGCATTCTCTGGAGTTTTGAAGAATAAGAGGTGATCACTTTGAAACTTACAAAATAGTTACAGACAACAACAGGGTAGCTGCAAATAAGATGTTTCCTCTGCCTGCAGAATCTAAAACCAGGAGGGGCATGATTTAAAAACAAAAAGGGGTGTCAGTTAGGGCCAAGATGAGGAGAAATTAATTTACAGATATAACTGGCATTGCACAGAATGTTTATATGAAACTTGTTTTTCACATGAAAAACTTTATGGAAAATGTGCTATCAGCAATTTATAATTTGAGTACACAATACAGTACTAGTTATATCTGTTGATGATGCTGTAATAAGTAATTAATAATGACCAGGGCTACACAGTGGAACAATGATTAGCACTGCTGCCTCTCAGCACCAGGGTCCTGGGTTTGAATCCAGCCTTAGGTGACTGACTGTCTGTGTAGGGTTTGCATGTTCTCCCCATGTCTGTGTGGGTTTGCTTTGGGTGCTCTGATTTCCTCCCACAGTCCAAAGATGTGCAGGACAGGTGGATTGGCCATGCTACATTGTCTTCTAATGTCCAAGATTGTGCAGGACAGGGATAGGGTGGGGGCTGGGACTGGGTGGGATACTCTTCAGTGGGTTGGTGCAGACGCAATAAGTCAAATGTTATTTTTCCGTGCTGTAGGGAATCTATGATTCTGGGAAAAGGTCTAATGAAACACAGTTCATACACCATAAATGTCATAAACAAACAACTAAAAATGTGGTTCAGATTATAAATATGAGTTGACATTGTGGAATTCATTCAAAATTTTCTTCATAAATCATGATGCATGGCTCATATATAATGTAATTCTAAGTTAAATAACAGATCTTGTACTGGACCATAAGGTTAATTGATTGCTTTGGTATTTCCTATTCTGTGGTTATTTCAAAAGCTCACTTTTAAGAGCTAAGGCTCAAGCCGCAGGCACTCCATTGCATTATTCAGCTCCAATCCTTGTCCAGTATAATCCAAATATCATGGCAGTGTGTTGCTCTTCAGAGCCTGGTTATCAGTTTGGATCTGAGGATTGATTATTGTGCCTGGACCTTGAATGTCAGGTTGATTCACTACAGAGAGCAGATTAAAGCTGTCTGACCCTTGATACTTTTAACAGTTCTAGTTTACCTGACTGTGCAACCTCTGAAACAGGCTTGTCTTGTACATGAGCCATGTGTCCAAGGATGGAGAAGATGACAAATCCAGCAAACACACTCGTAGCACAATTAACAACACAGACGACGATGGTGTCTCTATAGCAGTTGTTATGGAACTTGTTGTAGGATGACAATGCGACTAAGCTGCCCCAACCCACTGAGATAGAAAAGAAAATTTGTGTTGCAGCATCTTTCCAGACTTGGTAATTAGAAAATAGAGTTAGTGTCTGGAGAGAAATTAAACAAACTAATTCAATAGGTAAATGATGTTAACCTTGAAAACAATGAGGATTCAGATGCTTAATCCATGGTGAACTGACCAAAGTAGCTTCCGCTGGTCAACAGTATCTCTGTTAAACAGGTTGGTCATCATTACTGACTATCCCTTCTGTGATGTCTGATACATTCTTCCACCAGCCTTGGATTTCAGTGACTGACTCAGTTTCCAGAAGGCATTCAAAATAGTGCCACACAAAAGCCTGCTGCCTAAAATAAAGGTGCACGGTGTGATGGGTAATGCATTAGTAGAAGATTAGTAAACTAACAGAAAGCAGAGTAGGGATAAATCAATGTTTTTCTGATTGGCAATCAATGACTAGTGGTATGCCTCAAGGATCAGTGTTGGGACAGCAATTGTTTACAACTTAAAAGATAATTTGGAGTTGGGGACTAAGTGTAGTGTGGCAAATTTCTCAAATAACACTAAAATCAGCAATAGAACAAAGTGTGCAGAGGACATTGAAAGTCTGCAGAAGGATATAGATAGGTTAAGTGAGTGGCAAGGATCTGGCAGATGGAGTACAATGTTAATAAGTGTGAGATCATCCATTTTGGTAAGGAATGACAACAAAGTGAACTATTATTTAAATAGTGAAAAATTGCAGCATGCTGCAGTGCAGAGGGACTTGGGGTGTCCATGTAAATAAATCACTAAAAGTTGGTATGCAGGTGCAGCAGCTAATTAAGAAGGCAAATGGAAAATGCTCCTTCATTGCTAGAGAGAGGCGGGGAGGTTATGTTGCAGTTGTATAGGGTGCCGGTGAGGCCACACCTGTAGTACTGTGTACATTTTTAGTCTCCTTACTGGAGAAAGGATGCACTGGCACTGGAGAGGGTGCAGAGAAGGTTCACTGGGTTGATTCTGGACTTGAGAGGGTTGGCTTCTGAGGACAGATGGAGTAGACTAGGATTATACTCGTCGGAATTTAGAAGAATGAGGGGGATCTTCTCGAAACATAAAATTATGAAGGGAATAGATAGGATAGAAGTAGGGAAGTTGTTTCTACTGGTGGGTGGAACTAGAACTAGGAGGCATAGCCTCAAAATAAATGGGAACAGATTTAGGACTGAGTTGAGGAGGATCTTCTTCTCCCAAAGGGCTGTGAATCTGTGGAATTCCCTGCTCAGTCAAGCAGTTGAGGCTATCTCGTTGAATGTTTTTAAGGCAAAGATCAATAGATTTTTGAACAGTAAAGGAAATAAGGTTTAGAGTGAGTTGGTGAGTAAGTGGAGCTGAGTCCATGAAAACATCAGACATGAGCTTATTAAATGGCGGAGCAAGCTCAACATGCCGGATGGCCTACTCCTGCTCCTATTTCTTATGTTCTTAGTTCATTACTGGCAGCATTCACACTGACCCCAGTTAACTCCATTCTTTTATGGACAGCAACAACATAGAGCACCTTTCACCACAAATAATGATTCATTTTAAAATTGTAACAATATCACAGCAACCAAAACATTTTAACATCTATAGGTGCCATGAAATAGTTGTTATTACCCACTATAAAACTACATTATAATCTGCAGACACAAGTTAAAAAGTGGATAAATAAAAGAATGGAAATCAAATTCGACTGCTGTCAGAAAATTTGAGAAACTAATAATGTTCACTATTTTCAATTTGCAAACACTACAGTATTTGTGGACTGAATACAATATTCCGACTATTGTTATCCAGTACGCATTAGCCAACTGTCTGCTTCCCAAAACATTATCTCCTAGACTTCACATTTGTATTCACATCGGCACAGTGAAGTTCCTGTCCTCACACTGTAAACTGAATCACCTCAGAAATCTGTTTCAAGGAACGTTTCATTGAAGTAGCCTTTTAATGATACGCCAAGTGTTTATTCACTACCTGTCACAATCTCTGGGACTTAAACTAACTACTGGAAGAATGGAATCACCCAAACTTACACTTTCCTTCTCTGCCTCAGTCCTTGCATTGTTAATTTCAAAATACTACAATCAGACTGGCTAAGGATATAATCAGTGACTTTCCAATGCTCATTTCAGATGTAAATTCTAAATTTCAGATGTAGACAATGTGTCTCATTTCCGTCTCCCCCTTCGGATACTTGATGTACCAAATATCATTGACACGGAATGGATAAGGACAAGTCTCATCAAGAGTGGACTCTTTCTATTGCCCTGATGCAGCAAAATATGGGTCAATATTTGCTTCATATGTCAAAAAGGCATTTCATCTGAAACTCTTAGAACTGAATCAATTCCAAGGTTTCAGAAAGAAGGAGACATGGATGAGGAATTGTATTGCATCCCATTCCATGTGACATTTCCTCATCAATTTCCACCCTCTCTTCCATCACAGCCTACACCTGACCCTGTTCCTTGCTAATGGCAGGATGATATAGACCTTAAACTGACTTTTTTAAATTCATCACAAGCTCAATTAAAACTTTGCAATAACTAAATCTAGTTTTCTGACATTTAATGAAGGACTCACGAGTAAGACACTGATTTTAAATTGACTACCCCAAGCAGACTAAAAATATAATTTAGGCTCAATCATTGATATTGCTGCATTTACCTCAACACCAGCCAGTTTGGAGAAGTCTGACTGGCTTCCGATGTAGAAAGCGATTCCTTTAGAGGCTCCCTCCAGGGTAACCCCTCGGATCAGGAGTATGGTTAGAACCACATAAGGGAATATTGCAGTGAAATAAACCACCTGAACATGGAGTGAAGCTTGTTAGATTTTCCTGTATTACTGTTACAACAGAAGAAAATAAAATCTAGGAGCAGTACTAGGCCACTTGGCCCTCAAGCCTGCCCCACCGTGCAATTAGATTCTGCTGCTCAGATGTTAAACATAAGTTTACTTTCCTGCCTGATCACCTCAACACATCCCCTGTCCATAACCTTGACTCTCTTGTAAATCAACAAATCATCAAATTCTGCCTTGAATATATTCAATGAACCAACCTCTACTACTTTCTGAGGAAGAGAATTCGAAAGTTTGAAAATACTCCGACGGAAAAGATTCCTATTCATCTCTACCTTACCAGGAGACGCCTTATTTTGAAACTGTGCTCCCTGTTCTAGATTCTCCCATGTGGAGAAAAAGCCTGTTAAGACCATTTAGAATTTTTGAAGATTGTTTCTCAGTTTCCTAAATTCCTGTTAGTATAGGCCCAAACTTCTCAAACATTTTTTTTTAATAGAATAAACTTTTTATTTGAGAAATTAGCGCAGAGAGGTTGACAGAATTGTCTCCAAAACAAATACACCCCTTAAACAAGGAGACCAAAGCAGTACATGCTGCACCTTTGTAGCAAGACTTGCCCACTTTTATACTTCATCCCCCCCTTGCAATAAAGACAACATTATCCAACTAAATGGCAAAGTAACAGGATTCTCATTAGTGCATCGAAAGTAGCAGAAGACAACCAGGAGAGAAATAGTGACATGGAGGGTACACAAAGGGATGGGCATGTGGTTCACAGAGTTTGCATCTTGAGACAGTTTGAGACCTTGTTACAAATGTGCTCATTTAAAATGTGCTAAAACCATAGACATAATAATAGAAATAACAAAATGAAGACAGTCAATTGAGAGTAATTACATTTTATTTTTTCGAGGAACAAAAACATGAATATACATGTACAATCACTTATTACTGAGCAGAATTTGACAATGTACCAGAACTAGCTGCAGGCCTAGCTAAGCTGTTCTATTACAATGTGGAAAATTGCCCAGGTATGCCATATCTTCAAAACGCAGAACATATCTAATCTTACCGAGTAATGCCCCATCAGTAAATTCTCGGCCATCAGTGAAGTGATGGAAGGGGTAGTTGACAGTTCTATCAACTGTTCCTTACTCATCAACTGCTTAATTCAGATTCCTCCAGGCTCACTCAGCTCCTGACGTTATTATAACCTTGGTCCAAGCATGGTCAACTGAACCAAACTCTGGAGGTGAGGTGAGAAAGACTGGCCGATACAACATAGCAGCATTTGACTGAGTGTGGCTGCAATGAGTCCTAGTAAAACTGAAGGGAATGGAAACTGACAGCAGGGTGGGGAATGGAGGGGGGAGAATTTTCCACTGGTTGGAGTCAGACCAAGCATGAAGGAAATGGTTTGTGGTGACTAGGGACTGAGCAACTCAAACCCAGAACTTCTCTATAGCAGTTGCTCAGGATCAGGACCTGGGCCCAGCCACCATCAAATACTTTATCAATTGCCTGTTTTTGCTCCAAAATAATGTCAGAAGTGGTGGGTGTTTGCTGATGATTGCACAAAATTCGATACCATTCCCAAATCCTCAGATACTGAAGCAGCCCATGCTCATATTCAGTCAGACTTGGTAATATTTAAGCTTGAGGTAAGCAACATTCACAGCATATAAGGGCCAGGCAATGACCATTGAATCCCTACAGCATGGAGACAGGCCATTTGGCCCATTAAGTCCATACCAACCCTCCAAAGAGCCACCCTATCCTGGAAGTCCTGCATTTCCCATGGCTAACCCACCTAGCCTGCACATCCCTGGACACTATGGGCAATTTAGCATGGCCAATCCACCTAACCTGCACATCTTTGGACTGTGGAAGGAAACCGGAGCACTTTGAGGAAACCAGCGTAGACACAGGGAGAACGTGCAAACTCCACACAGACAGTCGCCCAAGGGTTGAATTGAACCTAGGTCCCTGGCGCTGTGAGGCAGTAGTGCGAACCACTGAGCCACCGGTTCCAACTATCTCCAACGAATAAGAATCAAGCCATAGTCTGTTGGAGTTCAGTCATATTGCCATAACTAAATGCACCATTATCAACATACTCAGGGTTACCATTTACCAGAAATCTCAATGGAATACCCACATAAATATTGTGGCTACAACAGCTAGTTAGAGGTGGGAAACTCGGAGGTGAATATCTTCCCATAGTCTACCCATCAAATATAAGGCACAGGTCAGCAGTGTGGTGGAAAACTCCTCACTTGCCTGGATAAATGTGCCCCGCAACACTCATGAACCTCCACACCGTCCATGACCAAGCAAGCTTCTCAATTGAAGTTATGAAGTTAATTAGTTGAGCTTAGGAAAGATACTGAGCCATCTGCAGGTTTATACAACTCCCAGTTTGTTAACATATTAACAGAACTATATACAGCTTTCCAGAGGTGTGGCTAACTCAGTGGACACTATGCAGCTGCTTCTCACATGTCTGTCATGTGATCTCTTACACCATCACTACACGAAATGTTATTCATACTGTTCGTGACATTAAACCTTTCAAAAATTTGGACTTTGTTTTCCATCCCCCACCATAAATATTCACTTCCTCTAACACTTGTGCAATGTGGCAGCTATGTATACCAGAGACAAGATTTATAGAAGCAACTCACCAAATTCCAGATAGCACTTTCCAAATCTATGACCTCTACCATTTAGAAGGATAAAAGCAGCAGACACATGGGAAAAACACCACCTGTAATTTACCCTCCAAGCCACTCACCATCCCGACTTGGAAATATATCACTGTCGCTTCAGTGTCACTGGGTTAAAATCCTGGAACTCCCCCCTTAACAACACTGAGGGTGCCCTGACACCAATTCACCTACAGTAGTTCAAGAACACAGCTCACTACCACCTTCTCAAAGGTAATTATTAATAACCAATAAAAACTGGCCCAGCCAATAATGCCCATATGGCTTACAATAATATCACAGATACCCTTAAAGCTACTTAAGCGAAACATTGCAGATGCTGGATATCTGAAATAAAAACAAAACAAAAAAGTTTTGGAGGTACTCAGCAAGTCAGCTAATACCTGCAGAGAGTGAGAAACAGAGTCAACCTTTCAGGTCATTGACCTGTCAATAGAACTGAAGCAAAATAAAACAGAGAGTAGGATGTGGCCATATTGAGAACACATGGTTTCGGGAAAAGCGAGCAATATCAGAAGTGCCAGTGTGAAAGATTGCAACATCAGATCAACGTGACAGAGACAGAAGCAGGGTGTGAGGAAGTATAGTCAAAGGTAGCTGTGAGAGTTGTTGCTTTCGAGTTAACGCTAGGAAGGCTATCTCCATAAATCACAGACATCGGGAAAGGGAAGATGAGATTCAGAGTTGAACCAGGTGAAGATTAGGGAAGATGGAAATTGTAATCAAAATCAATGAACTTTTCCAGCTTGTGGTGAGAGCAAGAGGTGACACTGATACATTCATCAATGTACTGGGAAAATGAAGCAGTTACCAAGGTAACAGGCACATAACTCGAGGAAGTGGTAAGAGTTCTCAGAGATCACCTAAACATTAATGGAATCGACACCATTTCTGTTGATAAATTCTGCAGTGTTGTGATATGGCCCTCTCATAGCTACATGTGTGCAGTCGATGACACCCTGTTTCTTGGGGAAGCCTGAATCATATATTCCAGAATCCTATTGCCTGAGTGACAGCACTTACCTCATTGTTGGGACACAGATGGCATCAGTGATGCAATCCGTGTCCCAACAGTGAGGTAAGTGCTGTCCTGGTGCATTTGTGGGTGCACATGCCACAAACTGGGAACACAACTGGGCCAAAGAGGTTCTTAGCTATGAGAACAGTCAGTGAATGAATACCCTGCGGATGAGGGCTGCACACATTCCTCCATACAGTGAGACATATTGCTCAATGGGGAGGCAATGGCCTAGTGGTATATCATCATTACAACATTAATCTCGAGTAATGTTCTGGGGACCTAGGTTCAAATTCCACCACAGTAGATGGTGGAAATTGAAATCAACAAAAATCTGGAATTAAGAATGTAATGATGACCATAAATCCATTGCTGATTGTTTGAAAAACCCATCTCATTTAGTAATGCCCTTTGGGGAAGGAAATCTGCCATCCTTACCTGGTCTTGACCTACATGTGACTCCAGACCCACAGCAATAAGGTTGGTCCTTAACTGCCCCTGGGCAATTAGTGATGGGCAATAAATGCTGGCCTCACCATATCCCATAATGGTCATGAAGCATTGGCAAATACTAGCTGCCAGTGTTTGTGGATGAGGACCCCTGGATTGTGCTGTTTGATGGTGAGCAACATGGAAGCTGTTCACAGCCAGTAGCGATCTGAAGTCGCCAGTTACTCACTCTGACTTCCAGCTCAAGAATTCACAACATCTTGTTTGTATGCCGTGTTTGGTAAGATGGGAAACTGGATATTAATAAGCAATTTGTGTCATTAATAAGGCATTAAACAAGCTACAACCCCTTAATTGGCAACTTGTCACTGCCTAGTAAGAAACTCACCTCCTCACTCGGCAGATACATAAAAGATCAGTCAGTTGTTCCTGATGTTGATTTTCTGCACTATGTCTCACCATAGGTCACGTGACTTATGTCACTAATAGATTCTGCCCACAGCAATTGCTACAGGGCTATTACAACATATTCCTCCAACATTAAGGTGAAGGCGAAGTGGGTAACGTTATACTGGAATGTCACGTGCTGTGATATCTTCCAACAGGCTTAAAACTGCATGAGCTATTGAGCAATACCAATATTTTATTGTTTTGTCCCAATGACTATTCCTCATCACCTGGGAGATAAACCAGCCCCTCCACAAATGATTTATAAATTCTAGTTTCTTTATTTCATAAATCCATACTTTGTCATTAATTATAACTCTATTCATCCCCAATCATTTACCTTTCCTGATGATTTGATTCCTTTCGATAACGCTACTCCAACCATCAACCGGGCCAGAAGCAGGCAGAGGGCTAAATCCCAGACTATCTCCCCAGTCTCATCCATTGAACTGGAACGGCGTAAAACCATTTTACTGAAGAAGATAAACAAGGGCATCTTGTGTCAGCATAAAATTCATTGCCCACATTAACAAAGCATCCAAGTATTTATTGAAATAAATAATTTGGATTTGAACATCATAAAGCTTGCGTGTGTCTTTAAAAAAAATTGTTCCAAAGAGGTTAGGGGAGATTTGATATTCTTTCTGATCCCTGTCACTATTCCTATTGCTCTTTACTATAGATCTTTGTTTAAACAGCGAGTGCTAATGTGGTTCACCAGAGAGCACATTTGCTTTGAAGAAGCTTCTGATAGAGTTTCACGGACTGCCTAACATTACACTGTTAAAACTATCTGATTTAATCATTATGTCTCCCAGTGAAATCAGCTCCTTCATATTGTTCAACATGGTCTCTGCTTCCAGACAGTTAATCTAAATATGTTTCCCAAGTCCAAGTGTTAAATACAAGACCTTATCATAATTAAAAGGAGAGAAAGGACCATTGGTATTGATAATTTAAAACATTTAATGTTTTGGAATTCTGGTGGTGAATACTTTCCTTGATGAACTAAAAAAAAATTAAACTTTTGAGATATAAATGTTGTCAATGTTTTGAAACCAGAGGGCTTTTAACTCGTAAAGGGCCCATGCCAATGATGCTTTGATATAAATATGCAATGAAGCAAATGATATTAATAATCTCTCTATGAAAATCAAACAGCTTTCCTCTCATTTAACAGGACTTTCACTAAATAACCATCCCTAGTGATGGGCAATAAATGCTGGCCGCACCATATCCCATAATGGTCATGAAGCTTTGGCAAATACTAGCTGCCAGTGTTTATGGATGAGGAGCTACTGGCCCAGCTGTGCAGGTTATTGGTGCAGCAATGTACTTACTCCCAGTATTGCTCACTTGGACCCTGGTGACGAATGGAGATTTCTGATCCATTTGGACATGTTTCATTGTTTGCCTGCAGCCATGTTGTATTAACAATTTCAAAACATCCACCATCCAGAGTGAAATTGCAGAGTAGATCTGGAAAATGTGGAATGTGTTTCAATATTACATTTCAATACTGCATTCTATTTCAATAATAACCAGGGTCACTGTTTCACTCTGACTGAATCAGTTAATCATTTTGATTACATGGGTAAGGTTATAGATGGATCATAACACAGAGGTACAGCCTGTACACTCAATCTCAGCACAGACTGACTCTGGTGCTCAATCTGCTGGTTTTCCTGTTTGACAAAGTCTGCCATATGCCTAATCATAAAACCAAATTAAAATGTTACAGTATAAAAAGTTACTTCAAAAGTATGCAATTAGTAGCTTTTGCAGAAGACATCAGGGATTATAATGGGCTGGATTTTCCAGGGAAGGAGAGTCTCACACACTTTGCTACACCACCCCTTTTTCATTAATGAATGAATGGAGCTCCCCATTGCTGACAGGGAGATTCAACTCAGGGCCCCCTCAGAAATGTGAAGCCACATTTCCATCCAGACAGTTCTTTTACAGCACAGAGGCTATCAGAGGAAGACAAATCTTGACTTGTTTTCACAGCAGTCAGCTGCTGTCTCCTGACATTTTAAGGCTCCTGACAGCTATTTTAACAGCTGCTGTCAAACAGTAAACGCATAATGTAATTGTGTGTTAGGGTTCAGGGAGGGTAAGGTGCTAGACTGATAGGAGTAGGGTGCCAGCTAAATGGGATACATGTGGGTAGGGTGCAGATATGCAAAGGGACAGCTATGCAAGGTACATCGAAGCAGGGTGCCAGGCTACTAGGTAGATAAGGTAACAGCTGAGTCGAGGTAGGGTGCCAAGTGGGTAAGGTACGATGGTGAAGGATAACAATGGATTTTGCTGAATAATGTGGCGCTTAAGGGAGGCTGGAGGGAAGGGAGCAGTTTTGGGGGTCAGGTCCGGCAGCAGCGACATTGGGAATGGGTGATGGGACAGGGTAGGGGATGGGAGGTCCAATGGTAACAGTGAGCAGGAGGGTGCGGTCAGTTTTGACATCGTCAGAGATCGGGGGTGATGTCACATCTTCAGGAGAAGCTGGGGAAGGTGGAAGAGGTGCAGGGTCTCCGCAGGGTCTAGACACTAAGAGGTTGAGGGGAGATATGGATCGGATTATGTGAGATAAGTGTGTGATATGTTTCAAAAATTGCTCAGGCATTAGACCATGTGTGTAATACTCTATCTTTTGCTGAATAACTACTTAACATAATTTCATCAGCCATGTCACCTTTGGGTGTGTTGCAAATCCGTTTAAATCTTGACTTTGTTTCTTGAGTCTTCCACCAATTCGAACAGTTTCTGTCTGTCTATTCTGACCAAACCCATCATGATTTTGAACAGTTCTGCCAAACCTCCTTTCAACTCTTTCATTTCAAAAGAGAACTGTCACAGCTTCGTCAATCTATCCAGGTGTCCGAACCTCAATCCCTGGAACCATTCCCATCAGCCTTTTCTGAACCCTCTCCAATTACTTCACTTCCTGTGCAGTGCAGTACCCAGGACTGGACACAATAATCCAGCTGAAACTGAGGCAGTGTTTTAAAAAAAAGTTCACTATAACCTCCTTAAGTGACCCCTGACCTTATTGTACAGACTGGGCCTGTGGGTGATGTGTGACAGTGAGTGATGGATGATTAAAATGAGAAGGATTAATAGCAATCTGCGATGTAAATTTAGTAAAGGAAACAAACTTAAAACATTTACCAACTCCATATTTGGTCAGGGATTACCCACAATCCCAGCCTGTACAAAAAGGAATTTTATTTCAAAGCTGAAGCTTCAGAAATTTCAAATTCACTCATCTCAAGATTTCAGACTTACTCTTTCCAATTCAAGCAGAAGTAATCTTTGATAACAACATTAGATAATAGGAGTTAAACCATGTTGATGTGGGAGGTGAGATGAAACTGAAAGAAACAAAGCTTTTAAATAACACAATAAAAACTGAGTGTGTCACAGAGTCAGACGGTATAAGAATTATATATGAGATGGTAGATATTTGGAAAGAACCCAGAAGAGGAGAAAATGTTGAGAAAATCATACCTGCACAAAACACAGAGATTGAGAAAAGGATCAATGTGAGACACAATACTGGGATGCTAGAGAGATACAAACAATGAACACACAGTCAGAAAGAACACAGGGCAGAATTACCGAAAAGGTGAAGGAAAAAAATGAGACACTTTAACAACTTTATCAAAGACTGATAAATTCAGATGTTTCGATATTTATTTCTGACTGACTGTCCAGCTATCCCAATCACTCAGTGCCATGATTCCTGCTGCTGTTTTCTATCCAAGTCTTTTTGCTGTCCGGTCACAATGAGGATGGTCACTGAAACTATTGTCCGTTTCTTTTCCTCATTCAGACTGACTGAATGAACAATGAACAGTCAGTGTCTATACATTCCCTAGTAGAAAATATTTAGTTTATAAATAGCATCTATTTGATGCATTGCTAATTCTAAACTAATACCTTGACACATGTCTCAAATCAGAAGAAAAAATAGGCAAGTTTGTTAACTTGGAAATGAATTCACCATTTCACATTAATTGTTTAACCCCGCATTTACTGTATTACTTTTAGTGCAATAAGCATTTGCTACTTCCTGAACTTCAACGTTCTGCATAAATTGATGAATTGATCCATTTAGCTCTGCCCTCTCACTCTCCGATATTTAAAATTTGTCCACAGTACCTCCTCCATTTTTGTAAGCCAGATAAGGGAACCTCCAGATGTTGCCCAGACCCACAGTATAACCAATCATTGAGAGCAAGTAGTCAGCCTTCGAAGACCAGTTACCCCGCTCCACATTCTCATCACCCACGGCACCATGTTGATTGGTGGTATCCTGGGAGACAGAATGGAAATGGCAGGCTCAGATATTAGTCTCTTTCTCAAAACTAGACCTCAAGCAAAATGCACAGTCACCACTCCTTACAACTACAGGAAATCTGTGTTGTTCTCCATTTAGCAGCAATGTCTGGCATGTTAGAAACAAAATTCACGACAACCAAAATCTACAAGTCAACAGTATTTCTCATTGTTTTCTATGGGTTTTTACAGTTTTGTTTTGTTGAAATACCCACCGGGTACTCTGGAGAGTCATTCCTCTGGTCCATTTTCAGGTATCAATGAATTATTCTTCCACTTGCACAAGAATTGGATGTAAACCTTGAGGACACTCCTTTTGGCCAAAAGTCGTTCAACTTCTTATTAATAAATGACTTGACCAGTCAGAAATCAGCCTTTTACAGTGTCTCTTTAAGATGCCTTAGAACCTCCGTTTAGTTAATCATTCAATTTCCACACTAAATATTTCTATTGAAAAGTTAAATGATTTGTTTCGAGAACATTCAGGATCAAAGTGTATTAATTCTGTATCTACAGACTTTGGGCAAAGTGCTAGTTTTAAAAGGGACAGCTCCCAAGTGAGTCTAAACCAATTTGGACTTCAGTCAAAGTAAACTACGTAAGGTTTCATATAAAAACGAACTAGTCTTCTCCCATATCACAAAACAAAATTGTTATTCACTGTTGCCCAAGTTCATTTTACACACTGAAATTTTAATTATCTTCAAAAATGTGGCTGGATTTTGTGCGCAATATACTTGGATTTGGGAAAAAACACAATTGCCTGTCCATTGCTCTGGAAGTGCCCCCTCCATTTCCATCACCAGGCATTTTAGCAGATCCAAGAATATGATGAACTTAGCAAATCCCTTCTGAGAGGTAGCTAGTGGGTATTAAGAAATTCTGGAAATTTCTTGGAGGTGACTGAAATTTGAAAGCCAGCCAAAATCACTCCTCTGAGTGAAGAGGTGAACCAAGCATTAGAGTTACAAAAATTATAAGAAGTAATAATTTGTGTTGCCTTCTTTAGTACAGGCTTTTCCATCATGAAATATTATAGGCTGAATTATAACTGTGCTTACTAAAGAAGGGGGAAATAATTTTATCGGTTGGATAAGATAAGCAACCATTAAATAATATGGTTTCTATGTCGTTACCTCTGATAACCATCAAGGCATCAGTTGAAAGACCAGCATTTTAATAGTCAAAAAAATTGCGTTGGAGTGGATTGTTCATAGGACAAAGCAATATTCTGCATTGTGTAATTATACAGGGCTCGCCTAGTGTGAGATCCAGAGCTAATTATTTGAAGACTCCCGTTGCTTTCACATGTTACTTACTGATCAGCTGAAGCATCTGTTTGGCTCTTTGGAAGCTTTACTAAATACATGATCTTTGGGCTGTCTCACAAGCACCAACAGGCTTGGAAGTGCAACATTTTTTTGCTTGTCATAGGAGAGTGGATTTGATGGATTTGACAGATGGATAAAATTTTGAAGATGTTAATGGCCTTTGAGGATTTAGTTAAGTAATAGCTGCTTTCTTTAGCTGATTGGTGAGCTGAAGAAATGCATAGCTTTCCATATGCATATTCAAGTGTTGTAATATTTATTTTAACAGATTCTTGACATTTTCAACAACATCCAATTATTGCTAGTACATCTTTTTGAAGTGAATGTCACAAGGGTGGGTTGGGGGTGAGTGAGTGGGGTTGGTGCAAGAAAATGGAGGCTTTATATTGATCTTGTTATGGACAGATTATGAGTTTTTTAAAAAAATCTCTCTCTCTGATAGCAGGGATTATGTCTCCACTTTGTCTGTTTGTGTACTCTGATTTTGTAAGCGTGCTAAAAGCATATCTGCAAAGATGGCCTAGAAGTTGGGTTTATTTCACACACTCTTAAATGCAGTGGAGGTGGGGATTTTATGCAAAACAGGCCATCTTGCAAGTGCACAAGGAGAGACCAAACTGCAAAGGATAAAGAGATGATTGAATTAGCCACAATCTGAGCATTACATAATGCAGGAATGCCAGTTTATCTATGTCTTCATTTTTAAAATAGTATTTGAAGCTTCAAGGCTGGAGTTAGCAGCCTGTAATTCCCTTGTGGGCATCACTGATTGGCAAGGCAACAGCTCAAAAGTGGTCAAGTTTCTTCTCATTATTCTCCAAAGAGGTTTCAAGGAATTCTTATTATTAAAATGTATTTTCTACTTTGATGTTTTTTTTAGAAAAGAGGTTGATTACTTGCAGCGGTAAGGATGTTGGTTGTTGAGTGTATTCTAACAGCCAAAGGCATTTTCCTTTGTAGCTCTGACTTAGGTGGTTTCATATTGTCAGTCAATGCTTTATGAAGCAATGGTACCGTTTAATCTCTCTGGT